ACAATAAATAAGAATTTGTGTGAGACTACAGAAAGTGATTTACATTCAACTATAATAAAGGATCTATGGTCTATAACATATTCCAAGCCACAATCACCACTGACTGTGTTCAGCACTCAAATTCCAATCTAAATATGTATTTAATTGTTTTATATGCCATCTTTTGTTCTTGTTACATCCACAGCTGTGCATTTCTTAACTTTTTTTATAAAATCAAAGCACTTAACAGGATACAAGAGAAGTCTGAGGGGATGAAATATTAGAATTAAAAAATGGGATTGATGAGTTTGGCATAACCTTCACACCATGTTCATATATATTCCTTGTGTTAATGTACAATTTCAAGAGTATATATACAGCAAATATCTTATGAAAAGCAAGCATTCCACACTGCCTTGTGTTTGAAAGAAATAAGGTCTAATATAGTTCATGCCTCCAATTTCAAAACAATAAAAATTTACTTATAGAATCTAGAACAACTGGGTCAAATGGACACCTTTTCAATGTTGCACTCAATTTACATATATATGTAATAAATAGAAGAACACACAGAGCTTAATCTAGTTCCAAAAGTTACACATAAAATGTACATAAACCAATTATCTCTTCAGTTTATGATGATTTCCTACCATAAAAATCCAAGTTCTACTGCACTGATAAGGCATACCAAAACATGCATTTAGCTGTAAAAGCTTAATCTCAACAAAGAAAATGGAAATAAAAGCCCAAAGACTCATGAGCTGTACTACTTTGAGGGACAAGCAGTCCATGGTCATGCCATCTACTAACTCTGAGCCCTGGACATCATGAGAGTGTCTTACCAGCATCTGTGGCCACACTTGGGCCTTCGCTCTGGTCTGCCAACGACCCAGGGGCAGACTTTTGTTCAGGACCATCAGCAGGAATAGGATCAGGAATGCCAACTGACTCTTTGGATGGGATAGAAGGTGCAGGTGTGGATGGTGGCATGGAGGAGGAGGAAGAGGAAGGAGGAGGTTCTGATATGGCAGCAGGGGATGAGGACGAGATTTCCGTCTCACCCTTTTCCTGAGGACCACCATCTCCATCATCAGTTTTGAGGGCAGTCTTCAAGATCTGTGAAAAGCAAAACCAAGATATGACTTCTAAAAACCTAAAAGGAGAGGCACTAAGTTTACAGTAACTATTTTAAATACATTACATCACATTCAGCTGGACAAAATAAAGGATCTTTATATATATAATAAACATAATATGGAAGTCATAGCTATCATCACCAATACTCATTGACTTGGGAAGGATCTCATTTATGCACTCACCCTCAAAGTTATGTTCAGTTTCAATGTCGACAGACCTCCTGAGGCCCCACTAAGGCTGTAGTCTTCTCCAATGACTTCCATTTTACGCTCCTTCAAGAAGACGTTGAGGTCTAGCTCCACCTTACCTTGGATCTGGTTGGTCTTCTGATCAATGACCTGAAATAAGAGAGAGTATATAATAATACAAATAAAAAAAACAAAGACAAAGAAAAAAGAAAAAGGAAAAATTATCAAAATAACAATAACTTTAATTTACACTTCTCTAGGAGCCTAAAAGAATTTCTTTTCAAAATTCATGGAATCCTGAAACATACCTCAAGCTTCAGCTCCTGGGTGCGTGGGTTACGGACAAGGAAGGTGAAGCCCTCCTCAAAGACTGGGTCATTGGTTCGCTGCCGTACAGCCGTCTCTCCCTTCTCATTACCAACATAGAGCCTCACAAATGGATCTGGGATTTGCTGGAAATATAATAATTCTGATAAAATCTTTTCACAATTTCAGGACATTAATTGGTAAATAAACTCTATTATTATCCTGTCTATGAACGTTCTGTGAGCATTCATATTTCAGTAGCACTTTTACAGATTTGACAAATGTGATGAAGAAACTAACACTCACAAATAACAAAAATAACAAATATTCCATAAAAGCAACATTTTACAACAATTTCTGCAAAATATCCCAGCTTCCCTGAGAAATCAAATCTAAAAATCTAGAGGAAATTAACATTGTGACACCATTTAAGCAATACACCATAGTCCCACAACAAATATGTGATTCTGGTCTTTGCCATCAGTAGAGCAATCACATCTAGCACTATAAGCTCCTAATTCTGAACATCACCTTTCAACACAGGGAAATTACAAGCATAAAATACAGAGGGAAATGGTGAAGAAAATGTCTCATCACCACACACAGGGAGACATGACTGATGCAAAGGCAGACCGTCTAAACCACTATAGTCTATCAATTGTCTTGGGTTGTAAAAGTAAAAGTACAAGTTGAAAGATAATTCACTGAACTAAACATATCTGTCCAAGCAAGATAAAGGGAACACGAGGAGAGATTTGGCATAAAGCTGTACTCAAACCTTGCTTTTCCGCCCAGAAAATTTAGGGCTCGCCCTTTCCTGGCATCCACAATTCCAAGAGATAAGAGAAAAATAGTTCATTAAAATTTGCTGATATATAAATATTGTATTCTCTGGATATAGCGCATGCATTGCATTACTCGACTCTGCTTTGAAGTGAAAAAAATGCATATAGATTTAAATATGAAGATAAGTAAAATAATTTTGTAAATTCAGTACATATACTCTAACAAGGACAAAATTCTTCATACAATGAAAATAATAGTATAATTCAACTTTAGAAGTAAACTTATATAATAACAATGGGTATATTACAGTTTTCCTTTCTTATGGCTTTCAGTCAAATTGAAAATACTATAATACAAGCAACATTTAGAAAATCATCAACATTCATTCACAGCAACAATTCAACATCCATGGGACATGCAAACTCAAAATAAAGTCCCAAAAGAAAATTCAAACAATACTGAACAAATTTTCACGAGAATAAAAGAAATGTAGTTCTACTGAATCACGCAATGTTGGATGGAACTGTTTCTAAAGACCCTATCCATTCTTCATAGCATATTATGATCATTTTCTTTTGCTGATTTGTCAAAGAAAAGTCAAGGCCTGAGTACAACACTTCATAACTAATCTGAAGATGTGATAAGTGCAAAAAAAAAAAAAGGTTATCTAAAAACAGACATCTTTTTTATAATCTATTATGATAGTTAATTTTTTTTTATTATCAATAACACATAGAAAAACATTATTTCACTACTCTGAAATATCAAATGTCATTTCTGTAAAAATAATAGAATTCCAAAATCAGATATACATCTACAGGCCTAACCCTTGATTTGACAACTGATGCAACCCCCATATTCTTAAAAGCTGTTTACAAATTTGAGGCTTGCATACACAAGGGTCTCATCAGTATAACAGTTATATGTCTGACTAAATAGACCATCAAGGAAAGTTTTTTTTATCTTATGAAGAAGGATTAGATATGCAAGAAAAGAAAATCTGAAGAAATATAGGAAAGGAAGAATTATTGTCAAATTAGTCATATACAATACAATAAAGGTGAAAATGGCAAGACCATAAAACACCATTATCAATTCATTTGATACAACCAGTCTAATAACAATGAATCACTTTGACTACATTTAAACCAGTTATGCTATTCACCAAGCAAATTGTTGAAAATACCTGCCATGTTATGGATTCTGTGGATATCATAATGTAATGATTAATATCACTCACACTCACTATTGGCCATGCAGGATTTTTTTCCCAAACTGAAATTCATGAGCCATACAAATAATACATATAAAATTTGAAGATTTTTAAAATTCATCAAATGTCAGTAGAGGTCATAAAGGATGAGCAAAAACATACATTATAAAATGTTAAACAAGTGAATGGATTCACATGAACATTCCAACCAAAAATATACACAAATTAAAATCATCACATAGCAGGTTAGTTCACTCTTCTGTAGGGCCTGTGTAGACAGAGACAATGTACAATGAGCACCTGCAAAACAAGGATAGACACACTATGCAATTAATAGACTAAAACCATACTCACCACAAGAAAATATTCCCCACAACCACATTTTCTCCCTGCATAAACCTCTACATGCAATGTAAGGTTGTAAAGCAAAACTGATGACCAATACTACTCAGAGTTAAAACATAAAACACTTTTCATCTCTGAAATCAAACTGTGACAAGACAAAGAAGCAAAAGGAACTGCGACTAAGTGCGACATTCACAGGCATGCAATAACATTACACTTCTTTACCTTATGTGACGGCTGTTGAAGAGGATGAAGAAGAAGAGAACATACAGGCTGTGATTAATACTTGATACATGAATGAAAAAAAGTAAATTACAATTGAAATAAAAAAAAAGATAAGGAAAAAATAGGCAAATACTTTTATACAATAACAGAAGCTACGTATCTTTATATAGTATATTTCATGCTTAGAACAATTAGTGATTGAATTTCATCAACAAATTCAACACTTATTCCGTAAGGGAATAAAATACAATTATGTCATGCAGTATTCCTTGTAATATGCACATTACTGAACTACCAAATTTACATTCATATAGTAGATATACCAACTGAGAAAGGAAAAGGTTTATCTAATAAAACGTTCCTCTCAACATTTTAAAAAAGTGAAGTACACGAGGCAGTGTTCATAAAGGGTCTATGATTCTTTGCAAGTCTGTCTATGACTTGCACTATTGCCATATCTTAATGTTAATTAGATCAAACATTTACATTGTTATAAACAATAACAGACTGCAGTAATATAATAAACAACAATTGCAATAAAGCTTACTAATATATATTACTCATTAGAAGTATTTAACTTTAATTTGGGAAACCATTTGTTTGCTGTCAGTGCATCGGTTGTGAAATACGTAGGAAATGGATCAGTTAACGGTTGACAGTAAGTCAGAATGGGCCTCCGAAGTTTACTTCAGTGATTTATGGTCATCTTTATGTGTCTTAGAGTGAAGAAATTTGACAAAGATTCCCCAAGAAAATGTCTGACAATCTGTTTTTTTTCTATGACTCAGCCAGGTGTGGAACTGTCCCACAAATGTAGGGACAGTCTTTAAAACTACAAAGCAGATTTACACAAATTTGTAGCTAATTCTTCATCAAAAATTACTTATTATCAAAGCTTAATTTAGCAGTTTCCTACATTTTTTCTGATATTTCCTATTCAAAGTCTCAAGACTGTCTTTAATTTGTTCTTGTGCAATTTTTTCTATGTTGATGATTATTTTACATTATTTGAAAAGGAAAGCTTGGAGACTTCTTTTTACCTGTTCCCACAAGTTAACAAGGCTGGCTCTTATATTTTTCCTGCTATACTCTATTAAAAAAATACATTAGTGCCACATGCATTCACAATTGATGCAGTGACAAAAAACATTGGGATGCCACATTACATTTAGATAAACTAAATATGTAATATTACCTTCATAATTTAAGATTTATTGCAATATCTACCTTGTTATATTATTACAACAGACTCTTAAAATATGCTCTATAACAATGCTCTAATTGACATATGTGAATTGACATATGCAAATCATAGACAAAATCACAAAGTGAATACTGCCCCAATTTGAATAGTGGCAAATATTTACTGACCTATATAGAATGCATCTATATAGAGGGTCAAGTTATTTTTGTTCTACTTTCAATTCTCTCCAGTGCTTTAGTTTTTTGCAAGGAGCTTTTTTCACTTAACCCACATCATTACTGGACTAAGTATCTTTATTAGTATTTCTCCTAATCTTTTACAAGAAATCAATATAAAATTTTCAGTCAAAACAGAAAATGTAAAATACTTTATCTTCATATTCAGAGTAAAATAAGTCATCTGAAACATGAAATATGTTCTTTTTCTTTCTGGTGCACAGGCAGCCATCAGGTATGATCACACATCATTGTTATAACCTTTGCACCAGGCTTTAAGGGGAAATAATACATTTTGTATCACTGCTTACCTCAAAAAGGTAAAATTAGCATTACCTGTCAGATATCTGTATTGAAAATGTACTAACTTCAATACACAAGTATGAGCAATGTTGGCATACTGTAATTTTGATTTTTAATTTACAAGCATAGCTTTTCCTATGGCTACAAGGGGATAATGATAATGCAATCTAATGCTAAATCAACAAAAGGAAATATTACAACATGCTTGTGCACATAGGAACAAAAATTAATCTAAAAAAATAAGGTGCATAATGCAAATGAAACCAATTTTAAAATTATCAATGCATCAACTGACCTTAAAACATGTGATATGCTATAATACTTTGTAAAGTAATACATTACTGACTTGGAAAGATAATACTACTTGACAGATCAGCTACTACATGATTTTTCTGTAACAAACTGATGTCCATTACCACTGCTGATAATAAATATGCGGTGTAACAGAATACATATAATCTCTACATCATATCTATTAACTTAGCCTCTCTGAAAAGAATGTTTTTAGTTTTCTTACTGAAATGGTTTCCTTGTCAATAACAGTGTAAAAGAAGATCTTCTACATGGCATTTTTAATTCATCATGCATTCCAATTTCTGCATCTCCCTTTTTTTAGCATTTTCAATATCTTAGATATAAATCTGATGAAAAATTAACAAGGAAATATCCTTAGCAAAGCTCTGTCATCCATAACATTTCAATATCAAAAAGCAATCTTACACAAAAGTGCTCATGCAGAGCAAATAAAATGGAAATAGAAGATAAAAATAGGTTTTAACTGCAGAACCAGCAACATATTAAAGCTGAGCATATTAAAAGAAAGCCATCTTTGTCACCCTTTAGAATTAAAATTAATGACTTTTTTACCCACTGATAATATGAGACATTCTACCATGAGAAAAAATATAAGAAGAAATTTTATTTGTTTAGTCATACTATTGCCCAGTTTATTTCATCTCCAGAATAGTCTTGAGCCTTGTTTTCCTACCTGTAACTCCTACCTATTTTATAAGTAAATAGTTACTTCTTCCCGGTACAGTAACAGCATAACCCCATTTATTATTTTCCCAAATATGATCCCTGTTAGATTACATATATGCTAGGCAAAAATCCATATATCAATGTAAAACCATTTAGACATCAGTATTTCAGGCATTACCTTAGATCCCCTTTTGGGGGATTACAAGACTATAATCTTTATCAAGATTTAAATATCTACCTTGATATAAGTGCTTGTCATTAGAAGAAATCTGAACATACATTTAAATATAAATAACTATTTTTTCTTATCTTAGTCATGATCTTGATATCTAAAAAAATATATATATATATTTTAAAGAATATTAGCATATATATAATTTTGTATTGGGATTTTCTTTTATGAAACAAGATTCAAATAACAGTGATAACATTCCATATGGAAATATCATTTTCAACAGAGCCCTTAATATAGTATAAGTTCAATATAATATTCACATTCCTTTTTATATTAAGACTTTTAGGAATGTTTCCCATCATAATCTTTATCAAGCACAAAACGTTTAATCCTAAATCTGTTAATTCTTTAGAGATGATGTCATTATGTGCCAACCTCTTCATTTCCTCTTAAATGAATGAAAACAAAAGAAAGGATAATAAAGCCAATAAAAAAATAGAGATGGCACTTAATATTCATTACATTCTATTCCTCAACCCCTCAACAATCATGAAAAGTTCAAGAGTGTATGGTACAGATGGGGTATGATAGTCGCATCATTTCCAAGATCATTCTATACAGATCATTGAAAATAACTTATGTAATACATTGTGATACCCTACACCAGACTATGATTATCACACCATTTTGATGGCAAAAAATAAGACTACAAGGGTTAATATCACAAAAAGTCTCTTGACTTTTTTTTACAAATATATACGATAACTACACTAGTAGTCAGATATACCTTATGAGGAGGATGCTCACACTTGATGTTCTACAAAAATACCTATTTGTCGTTCATTTATCTCCTATTCAAAATCTGTTTATATTTTCTATTGTTATTTAGTACTTATGATGCTCTTGAAGGTATTTTCATGTCTCATTCATATTTTCAGTAGTTCTGATCCCTTATGTAAAATGTGGCAAAGTTTGTGGTTAATTAGATTTGCAAATGTCAGATTTATGAATGCAAAGAGCAAACTGTATTGATCTTTGGATTAATCATAAAGAAAAAGAAAGATACACCACAGTTCTAAGACTGCTAACTTACATTGAGTTTCTTGGCAGAATCCACCCAGACCATGAGCACAGCACTGTGAAGTGGGTTCTTCGTTGTCACCTGAAGAGCACGGATTTCCTCAAGTTGCTGTGGAAAAGAAGGAATTTAGAGAGATACCAGATATCTGTAACCTTTTTTCTTGAAAAAATTCAAACCCTACCACTGTGAAAATAAAGAAAATCAAAGACTCACCAGTTGCAGAGAATCAGCAGTGTCACTGAGATCTAACCAAGTGGCTCGGATGTGAATGCGACCTGACTTGGCCTCAGACAGCGGCACCCACTGGAATTCATCAGGTATTTTAACAAAATTCTCATCTAGAATTTTTCTGGTGATACATTATCCCAGCTTAAGATTAATATAATTTAAGAGAGCCATTAGTTACTATTTTCTTACAGACAAATGTCAACAGAAAAGAGTAGTGTTCACTTCTCCTAAAAGAATATTCATCTCAAACCAAACTATACCTAAACAGAAGATAAAATCTTACCCACATGCAAACAGAATATTATGACTTCACTACCAACATGCACCCATACTCTACTCTTAACCCCATACAGCCAGGTATGGGGTTAAGCTGCGGTGCGGCTGAACACTGCGGCAACACACTCGGTTCATTTATGTTAATAACTTAAACTTGAGCTGAAAACACAAGATTAAGAAACAAAACCAAATGAGGTGAATTAAACCAAATGAACCAATTGAGGTTATTTAAAACATGGATGCAGTGGGCTGGTCATGTTAGTTATCTTAATTTCTGAGATGACATGGTTAACCTTAAAAAAAAAAAAAAAAAAAAAAAAAAAGACAATTACATAACATTCACCCACATCTAATATTTCTTGCAATCAAAATAAATCCTAATAGATAAATTTAAAAAATATCTATCTATCTATCTATCTATCTATCTATCTATCTATCTATCTATCTATCTATCTATCTATCTATCTATCTATCTATCTATATATATATATATAAAAGTATAAATGTATGAAAAGCCAGTGTCAGCTTCTTCATTTCTCTCACATTCAGTACTTATCATAAGTCGTTTACACCAATTCACAACCAAAACTATATAAAAAGCATAAGTAAAATACCTTTTTTTTCCAAAAATCCTTTATGCATACAAAAGAAACACACAGTAGTACTCAAGAACATAGTTTATTACTCACCATATCTACTTCTCCATTCTTCCAAATTTCCTGAACATCCAAATTGGCTCTGGAGATAACATTAGTAAATTAGAAGAATCATATTTGGATAAGATCTCAGAATTGAGAGGCAGGTATTATTTCATCATATGGTCAACTGTGTTTTCACATATGCAGATCTTAATAACTTTTTTAAGATGTAATAGATAAATATTATCTGTAAATATAAAAACATAAATGAGTAAGTGTACAAATGAACTTCTTAAAAATTAATGTGATAGTCTTATTCTACTAAAAATAAAATTCTTAAAAAATATGTAGATAGGACATTCAAACACTTTATGATCATCTTTATACCTTCAAGCTACTATACCTATATATAATTATGGCTCTATGTTTTTCTCTAAATAAAGAAGGATAATACAACTCATATTTCATCCAAATATGGAAAATGGGACTAATGTATAAATCCTGTTTACCAAGCTAAAGAATTAAAGTTAGGAACACTGAGTATTTACTAGTTCAATATATTATTAAAATACAGAAAAAGCTTAATCATGATTTGACATGATATGTCTTCTCTATTTGAAAACCACAAAAATATTTATTAATCTAAGTAAATTAATATCCTTTGTTTTTATTGAGATTTAAATGGCTTAATAGCATAGACTGCTTGAATCTGATAACTATTTAAACTATTTTATATATTAAATCATTGCTACATAAATTCTCATTAGTTCTTATTAGGGAAATTACCTACCAATTAAATTATAACAGTACATAATATAACCTGATTATCAGTTCATTTCCCTCAAAAAAAAACTTCTATTACCCCTTGTTCTGCTTCTGTTTAAATCATTCCCAGTCTCCATGATACTGCCTTCCATTATAACACCTGGCATACTAACCACCCATCATTTGCACCCATCATTACAGTATGAATGTCCGATTAGTCATAGATTACTTCTGTACCCCACCTTGACACTTCACTGTGTTTACTATAGTTCATCTTAATTACTTTAAAAAACATAATTTGTGCCATTAGGATACTAATTCACAGATATAATTATCAGAATCTTAGAAGTACAAGTGCAAAGAGGCAACTCTGAAAAAAAGCTTTTTCTGTAATTTAAATAACCTAAAGCTAATGAGTCCAATATCTGATCATATAGGCACTAATGAATGTCCTATCAGTCAAAAAAAAATCAGCATAATGCAGTCCCATTATCATATTATAAATACTCAAATTTCTCAGGTAGTGCACACAAGGACAAAGGGCTTATAGAGCATATCGTAAATAACATCACATCCAATGCTTGTAAGGTCAAGTCTTAAAGAATAAAATTTCACTATTATTTAGTATGTGTTAATGTACACACACTGGCAAGTCCATCCTTTAAATAACAATATGTATATATATATATATATATGTGTATATATATATATATATATATATATATATATATATATATATATATATATATATATATATATATATATATATATATATATACATATAAACATGAGTGAGTGAAATTAAAGGTTTGTTGAAGCTTTTATTGGAGGGTATTTGTCACACTTTTATGGGAGGATAATTTAATATACCTGCTAGGAAGATTCCTAGAAAACTACAGATAAAAGCTGATAAACAACATAAAACTCTTTGCAAGTCACTGAGGGCAGTTTTGTGTTCAAAGTTGGAGGGAACAAGAGTAAAAGTTGAGAAGCACATTTTGAAAGCAATGTATTCTTATTCTTCTGTATGCTCTTTAATCATACAGATCACAATTTAATTCATGCAGTCACCATTATAAAGCAGATAATATTTGCATGCTATAAGCATTCAGAATATATCAAATTTGCATTGTGTTTTATATGTTAGTATTACATGCAGTAATTGCTCTCATGCTGAAAGTGTTATCTAATTCTGGTTCCTATATGTCTACTAAATGAATAAGTATACAGCTTAGAGCATAGGTAAGTAAGTACACCTAAAGGAAAAAATTCTGGAATGATTCTTTACGAACCTATGAATCTTTAGGAAAAGTATAGTATAATTTCGTAAATTTAGATTTACCAATACATCCTCTCTAATAGTGATATATAACTATAGTCTGGACAAATGTACATTTATATTATTCAAAATTAACAATTTCCTGAATCTTTCTTGAAGAAGTAGACAATAGTGGATATGGGTAAAGATACTAGCATTATTAAAATAACATCACATGATATAATTTGGGGAAAATTCTCTGATCAGTAATGAATTAATTCAATATCAAGCACAGATACAGAAGAAACAATAATCATCATCATAATCAATAAATTTCCAGCAATATAGACCATACCATACTTAACAACCATAATATTTACCTGAGAAGAAAATCATCTTTGCTCATGTGGTCATAATCAAAGACCTCGAAATGAATCTGGTTCCCAAACCTGGTGTCAGAACTACAAAAGTACTGCAAAAGGGTTTGGAAACAGCTTTAGAGCACAGAAAGCTATAAATGAACCATATCTAAATGCATTCCAGAGAGTTGCAAATCTGTTACTTGGCTACTAAATTCATACACATAGCCGTGGAGTGCGAGGCATAGCTCAGACTGAGGAGTGTCACATGATAGGTGTCCCGAATGGTTATCTTCCAAGTTAATAAATATATATATATATATATATATATATATATATATATATATATATATATATATATATATATATATATATATATATATATATATATATATATATATATATATAATTATATATATATATATATATATATATATATATAATTATATATATATATATATATATATATATATATATATATATATATATATAATTATATATATATATATATATATATATATAATTATATATATATATATATATATATATATATATATATATATATATATATATATATATATATATATATATATATATATATATATATATATATATATATATATATATATATATATATATATATATATATATATATATATATATAATATATATATATATATATATATATATATATATATATATATATATATATATATATATATATATATATATATATATATATATATACAAATATTATAATATACAAATATATAATATACAAATATATAATATACAAATATATAATATACAAATATATAATATACAAATATATAATATACAAATATATAATGTATATTATATAATATATATTATATAATATATAATATATAATATATATTATATAATATATAATATATAATATATATAAAAATATAATATATAATATATATAAGAATATAATATATAATATATATAAAAATATAATATATAATATATTAAAAATATAATATATAATATATTTAAAAATATAATATATAATATATATAATATATAATATATATAAAAATATAATATATAATATAAATAAAAATATAATATATAATATATATAAAAATATAATATATAATATATATAAAAATATAATATATAAATATATTTACATATATATATATATATATTTACATAATATATATATATATATATATATATATATATATATATATATATATATATATATATATATATATATATATATATATATATATATACATATATATAAATATATATATATATATATAATATATATATATATATAAATATATATATATATATATAAATATATATATATATATATAATATATATATATATATATATATATATATATATATATATATATATATAAATATATATATATATATATAAAATCTTCCTCATAAGTGCACCATAGGATGGGATTAAAACTGTACACTCCACAGGTAATCATGAAAGGAAATTAAGAAGCAGATATTAATATCTAATGCACAACAAAGCTACATGTTGATTCTACTGTGGACATGGATGGTTAGTAACTAACTAAAGACCACATGCAAAACAACATGCAGTCTTCCATGAAAGGTAGACTGTGAGACATCTTATGTTTTATATAAATGTAAATAATGCAAGAAAAGGATAAGCAGTACAGTACAAAACATAATTAACAGAAACTTCATAACACAGCATGTGGGAGTAAGCATTAGGGATGACAAGATATCCGTGTGTGTTTTATGATAATTTCATGGACAAAAATGAGTGAAATACACTGCATTTCTTTCTTTCTTTTTTTTGTGTCCCATTCCACTTGCCGAAGTGAAAATTCTGTAGGATCAGTGCATACTCCACTTAAGTCTTAAGTTCCCATGAATATATATGATAGCTCTTGAGTTTCCAATATTTTTAAAATGTCTTTTCCAATATAACAATTACAATTTCCAAATGAACCATCATCTTGCATACCTTTTGCAAAATATGTACCTATAACACGAAATATAAAAAAGAAGTGAAAAAAAAATATATATATATAAGATAATAATCTTTGTCTGTCTGTCTGTCTGTCTGTCTGTCTGTCTGTCTGTCTGTCTGTCTGTCTGTCTGTCTGTCTGTCTGTCTGTCTGTCTGTCTGTGTCTGTCTGTCTATGGCTGTCTATGACTGTCTATGACTGTCATTCCTCTATCAATCTCTCTCTTGTATTTACCTACTTGATTAATGATTAAAATATAATGGAAAGAAAAGTTATGTGATCCCAGGAAAAAAATGTTAAATGTAGAAAAATAATGTACTAAACATGAGTGATCATTCTCAAATATTTTGTTATGTGTCTGATATAACAGACAGTAAAACAGATATTATATGGATAGATAAAAGGACAGATAGTTAAATAGAGATAGATAAGTAGGTACATAGACTGAATACAAATATATATATATTTTTTTAGTTCTTATGCTACATTAATGAGTCACAAAACATTAACTGACACTAAAGAGGATTTTTTTTTATCAAACTTCCAATGCAAAATAAAATTCATATTTTCTTTCCATTAACACTACACTTCAGAATTTTGAGATCACTCAGTACAAAAATATATTTCTAAACTTAAACCTATTTCATGTTATTGTAATATAAACAGAAAATACATAAGCATTAACCTAATCAGTTCCTCAAAATTTTGCCATTCATGAAAAAAATGTAATGTAAAACATCATAATTCAGTTTAAAATCATATAAATATACCAAAACTAATGAAATTTCCTAACCTGGACCTAATGCTTGTACAAAAATAAAATGATCCTTTCATTTAGCTGATGATGGTTCAAATTTACAAGATTAAAACAAATTATTAATTTATACAGGAAAGAGAAAACTTGATTTTATTATACCACTTCAACTTTGAGCACAGTATGTGGATAACTTAGTAAGTTCTTAACCTTCAGCAAAATATAAATAAATAAATACTCAAATAAAAATAATGATAATAACTACTTTAAATACCTTCAAAAGCTACCATGGGAAATATTCAAAGTTACTAAGTTATATACTAATCATCCTCTACGTGAATTCTGAACATATAAATAAATGAGAAATGTGAAAGCTCATTCCCACAGTGAGCATGCGCAGTGCCAGGGACCCCTAGAGCAGTTACCTCCCTAAAAAATCATCATTCTTAGCTCCGGGAATGTTAGCATCCCAGTCCCAGCATTCAATATTGAAGGTCTGACGACGTACCACGTTGCATATTGCCTGTGAGGGGCAGCAGAAGGGATTACGTTCAGCTAAGGTTATTTTGATTAACAGCAAGGTAAGCAGGAGAAAGCCAAGTGATCTTTAGTGGATGACCACAGCACCTCAGATGGCAGTGCTTTAAAACAAAACATGTTACTAGTTCCATATACATTACAAGCATATGCTTACACAAATGCTTACACAATCCTACTTTTTATTAAAATAACCCAGCCATCTGATTTCCCTTATCTATATCCCATTGTTAACTACCTGATGTACCTATATATGGGATCATCCTCCAAATCTGTAGGTTAATTCATGTCCAGTCTCTCTAAACAAAACAATGAACAAACAATGTCATAACCCCTGGCACCAGCAACAATTACCAGCAAAGAGATGAAGACTTCCCTTTGACAGCTCTTCTGTGTTAGAACAACTCACTGAAACTTCCAATACTGTTCTTACATATATGAATGATAATGATTAATGCTTACAGGACTAAGGAACTTCTAACCACCTATGAACTGTCACTGAAATAAAAAGTAAACTACTACCAACATAGACGAGCTAGTGAACAGGTGGCTTCTTCTCCTGTGCTGGCTACAGTATCCAGTCTTGTAAAATGTGTTCTTAGGGAAAAGGATTAACTCTTCAATCATAACAAAGACAATAGTTATGGGACTTTAAATCTGAAATCAAATGACAACAATGCACTTGGCAGAACTGTGGAACTCCTTCTAAGAGTGCTCCTCCCTCTCCTCTTAGCACAACCACAGGGTAAGAAAAAAATAAAACGGAGGATGATCAACCTCATGAGAGCACACCATGCACTCTTTGTAGCAAGGACACTCCACCAGCAAACTAGTACCTGCCCAAATAATCATCATTCTCATACGACTTCAGTGGGCTATAGTCATAGTCCCAGCACTCTATTGATATCCGCTGCCTTCGAATCACATTGGCTAATGCCTGTCCAAAAGTCAACAACACATTATTATGCATCTTGTTACTGACAGTGATGGGCATCTAATGAATGGAGACTGACTTTAATTCATTCTAAGACATTAATACGTACACAAACTTTAATATCAAAACAAACACTAAACATCTTCTTGTAAACCTGTAGGGTGAAAAACAACAAAATTATCAAGTTGTGAGGGTGCAGTGAATAAAAGAAAATAAAAGCTGGAAACAGAGAAAAAAGGTAGATATATACACAATGCATGTTATTACATTTTTTTGTGATGCAGTAAGCAAGCTTTTCTTTTATACCAGCCATGCATCCTTTACCTTCCTGCATGCTTTCTCCCTATTATACAACTTGCACATTCAAAAGCCGTCTTGCAACAGTAAGATGAAAGAGGAGAGAGACAGATTATAGGAAGGAAGAATTTTTCATAGCTATATCAAGGGAGAACTTGAAAGAAATCTGAATTCATCTTTCAAATATTTGTCAAGCTTTTATGTTTTCCTCATCAATATCACCCTTTTTAAACAGAGAAAGGAAGTATTATCTTTACAAAAGCATAAGCCCTTGTCCAACAAAATCTGATACACAGAATACACTTTACTCTACATACTACAACTAAGAAACCCTAGAAATGAATAAGAGCCTTCATTGGCTATACACTATTGCAATGAATGTGTTCCTCATAGATATACCGTTTAAAAATATATATATATATTTCTTTAGTTATACTGATACATTTTACTATCTAGGATAAACCCAGATTTCTCACCTCCCCAAAAACTCGTCCTGGCCTGGCCCGTCATCTAGATCGAAAAGTTCAAAATCTAGCTCTTGCGACTGTATAACCTCAGTCAAGAACTGTAACAGATGCATACCGGGGTTTGGGGGAAGTCGGGAGAGACAAAATAAAAATCATGTTAAAAATCAAAAGTTGAATTAGAAAGGAGAAAAAAATAAAAAAAGGTTTCATAAAATCAATAAACAAAATACTAAAACAAGGATTGTCTGAGTGTGAGTGTGTGTGAGTGTGAGTGTGAGTGTGAGTGTGAGTGTGAGTGTGAGTGTGAGTGTGAGTGTGAGTGTGAGTGTGAGTGTGAGTGTGAGTGTGAGTGTGTGTGTGTGTGTGTGTGTGTGTGTGTGTGTGTGTGTGTGTGTGTGTGTGTGTGTGTGTGTGTGTGTGTGTGTGTGTGTCTGTGTCTGTGTATGAGAATGTGCATGATTTCTGAAAATATAGTGAAGGATATAGGTTTATAAACATATGAACTGAACATCTCCCTTTTTCACTGCAGAAAATAGTCTGAATCTAGTTACTACATGTGTGTGTGTGTGTGTGTGTGTGTGTGTGTGTGTGTGTGTGTGTGTGTGTGTGTGTGTGTGTGTGTGTGTGTGTGTGTGTGTGTGTGTGTGTGTATAATATATAAATAATTTATATATTATAACATATACATATATATACATATACAAACATACATATGCATAAATATATACATCTGTATGCATATGCATATGCATATGTATATGTATGTATATGTATGTATATGTATGTATATGTATGTATATGTATGTATATGTATGCATATATATGTATGTGTATGTGTATGTGTATGTGTATGTGTATGTGTATGTGTATGTGTATATGTGTGTGTGTGTGTGTGTGTGTGTGTGTGTGTGTGTGTGTGTGTGTGTGTGTGTGTGTGTGTGTGTGTGTGTGTGTGTGTGTGTGTGTGTATGTGTGTATGTATGTGTATATGTATGTGTATATGTATGTGTATGTATGTGTATATGTATGTGTATATGTATGTGTATATGTATGTGTATATGTATGTGTATATGTATGTGTATATGTATGTGTATATGTATGTGTATATGTATGTGTATATGCATGTGTATATGTATGTGTATGTGTATGTGTATGTGTATGTGTATGTGTATGTGTATGTGTATGTGTATGTGTATGTGTATGTGTATGTGTATGTGTATGTGTATGTGTATGTGTATGTGTATGTGTATATATATACAATCATATTTATCATGTATATACATACATACATATACATATACATACAAACATACATACATACATGTATATATATACAGATATATATTTCCATGCATATTCTTTGCACTTACCATTTTGGAATTTCCTTCATAATAAAGAAGTCTTTATCCTTTACAAAAACATGAATATAAAAAATAATAATTTGGGATAACAGAGCTGTCTCTTCCTACTATTCCTTACTGTTCTATAATCTCAAACTGGGGATGGAAAACTGGCAAAAGGCTTTAAATATCACATACTCATTGTCACTCACCACTAATACAAAGACCTTTATTTTAGGATGCATCAAAAGCTTTATATCTTGTGCAGCACACAAAAACTTGATACCTCACATTTTAAATTATTTCCAAACATGTAAGATCAAATGACATTGAAACAAATGCAGAAGCAATAATAATCAGGATCTTATGTGTTTCAAAAACATACACAGTCCCTTTAGCACAAAAATTCCACATTTATAATATAAAGGGGATATAAACAACTGTCATTAATCATCTCTATATCCTCCCATATTGTTTTGTTTTTTTTACACACACTGCTCATTTGCCTATATTGTTTTTTGTTAATAGGTACATTTTATCCCCTTTATATCATATCAGCATTCATAAGGAGCTCTTTATATGCAGGTATATGTTTGTGTATAAGTGTGCCTACATATGCATGCATATGCATATGTGTATACGTATGTGTAAATGTAAATGTACCTATGTATACCATGTAGAAGCAGATGTATATGTAAATACAGATATACATATAGACACAGATATAGATATGGATATAGATATAGATATAGATAAAGACAGACATAGACATAGATTTTGATATAGATGTAGATATAGATTAAGAAGTAGATGTAGACATAGAAATAGAGAAATGGAAATAGATATAGATATGCATGAAGATGTAGATGTTGTTGTAGATGGTCTGGTAGGTAGGTAGGTAGGTAGGTAGGTAGGTAGGTAGGTAGGTAGGTAGGTAGGTAGGTAGGTAGGTAGGTAGGTAGGTAGGTAGGTAGGTAGGTAGGTAGGTAGGTAGGTAGGTAGGTAGGTGTAGGTAGGTAGGTAGGTGTGTGTGTGTGTGTGTGTGTGTGTGTGTGTGTGTGTGTGTGTGTGTGTGTGTGTGTGTGTGTGTGTGTGTGTGTGTGTGTGTGTATATGCACACGCACACGCACACGCACACGCACACGCACACGCACACGCACACGCACACGCACACGCACATATAAATATACATATAGACAAAGATGCATATGTAGATGCAAGAGAGATGGTGTAAATGTAGATGTATGAATATAGCAGTAAAAATACAGGTTTACTGATTATAAATCAAACATCTCATATATGATGTTAGTGCTTGTATGTGTGTGAGTCCTAGTGCATGTCTGCAAGCTCATCTGTTAATGAACAGGCTATAAATGTCTGAATGTGTCTGTGTTCATGTTGTGTGTGTGTGCTGAAGTGCAAGTCTGTATTTGCTTGAATGCATGTTTGTGAATTTAGTATATGTGGATGTGCCCATATAATAATAATTAAATAATAAATAAAGATATATAAGTATCTGCTAAAGAGTTTATGTACACGTGCCTGTGTGTGTTTTACACATATTATCAACATATGGGAATATGTACATGACAAGTACAAAACATCACTGAAATTATGTGGTTGATATATTCTGAAAGTCAACAGATATATAATGATCTGCCTTTTTTTAATATCAGGACACATTTTCCAATAATAATGGGTTATTGAAGTCATGTCTTTGGTTAATCTGAAATCTAATTTTCCAGCATTCTTCCTCATTTGCCAAAAAAAAAACTTTGGAAAGCAAAAAAAATTTAAAAGTGAACCACAACTATAAACTGAAAGATAAAATGTTTGTATTAAACAATTCTAAATGAAGGTTTCAAATTCCCCCCAAAATGTATTTAATCCTTTCTAATAAACTGTACTTGTACATGCACAAAGGGTCATATTTCATTTATGCATACATATGCTTACAGGCATCTGCAATTCCTTTATGAACACTTCAGATCTCCTGAAATTTCATCCATTTTAAAATAAAGCATTCTCATCAGCTTGAACAGATCCTTTTCAAACAAGCATTTTTGTAATTAAAAAAGAATCATCTCTCATAACCACTATTTAAAAAAATTATCAATATTTATTTCAATAGGAACTATCTACCCTCCTCAGCTTATAATTATTTTGAAATTATAATTACTCCATTAGCCTCAAGAGAACTGAAAGAGAGTAACTGACCTCACAGCAGAAGTCCCACTTAGGATTGACGGTGTTGTTAATCGTCTTGGTCTGGAATTTCTGCGCACCAAGACGGAGGATGCAGTAAGGGTCAGACTTGCCCGTGCCCATGATGCCAATGTCCTTCTTCATCAAGTTCTGGGCCTCGATGACATTAAGACGAATCACACCCTGAAATGTTTGGGGATCAATATGAGGTCTAATCTCCTAAGAAAATATTTGGAATAAAAAGATCAAGTAAAAAAAAAAGATCAATCATTGATATTTGTTTTCTAAATCAGAAAGAAAATCATGAATTGCAACAGGTTCACTGTATGAAAGTTTAATTCATAAAACTATAAATCAATATATCAAAATATTAAAAGCTTAAACTCACTCTAAATGTAAAATAAAAAATCTGAATACCTTTAATACAAAATGAACCTAAAACTTCAAATACTTATACAATAAAAATCACCTCACACACAATCAGTAGAAATTCAGTTGTAATGTTGTTGTTTTTTCTAATATAAATACTCATTTAATCTAATTCAAAGATGTACGAAAAAATGTATCCATAATGAGTTTTTGTTTTATCTTACACATACTCAGTACTCACAGTGCATACCATACCCTGATATACAATTCATATACAAAGTTAAGATGTTGGAAACTTATAAGATGTCATCATAGGAGAGGTAATCTTGGTTTTTCATTTATACTTTTCAATAAATCTATTTCTGTGACATGAGGGATACCATCACACTTCCTCCATGTTTCCTAATACCTTTGAAGAGACTTTTAATGAACTACACAGAACATAACTCACAGCTGGGGCTGGGCACTTGAGCTCAACTACATCAATGTCTTCCACGAGTTGTATGGGGTATCTATTTGGCAGCACCATCATGTGACCAATCTGTTCTGTCACAATGCTTCGCAGGATGTCACTGGTTTAACAGATATAAAAAAAAATTAAAAGCAATCCTAATCTTCATATTACATATTTTTGAAAGTAACCTAAGTGTATATGTACATATCTCATGTCTAAGAGATCAAGGAACATCTGTCCCAATATCCTCAAAGAAAGAGTTGCAAGGATTCTCCTCCTTCATTCTTGTATTTCAAAGTGAAATCCATTCACTTTACTTTACCTGAGTCCAGGCATGTCAAACACATCAGCAAGTCCAATGAGGTTGAAGTCCACATCGGGATTATTGAGGAAGAAGACCTGAAGACCACCCACAAGAGGGATTTGCCTCACCAGCGGTTTCATCATGATACGGAGCCGTCCAGATATCTGAAGTCAGTTTAACATTATTAATCAACTTATTTCTCTATCATGCTGACAAAACTTAATCATGTTCTGGACAATCAAAATTTGAAAACAAAAGATTAAGGAACAAAACAAAACAAACTAACAAACAAACTAAGGAACGAACAAAAGTTACAAACACACTACCTGTAAGTCTTTGATGCCCATCTTGAACTTTGACACACTCACTTCAAACTTGCAGTCTCCAGCATATCTGATGAAGCAGACATGAAAAGAATAAACTTTTCCAGGTTTTTTAACAAAATGTAAGATTCTTTTTTAACAAATTATTATATACTATATAATAAAATGATAATCAGAATGCAAAGACTATAATAAATAAAACATCTAGGGACTTTATATATTCAATCTGATGTATTTGGGGACAAATACAGCAGAATTAAGATAAAATTAAAACATTTTACATATCTATATTTACTGAACTACACATCCATATCAAAAGCAGAACAAAACATTTTTTTGCAAAACTTTCACTGAATATTTTCCAACTTCCTCGCATTCAATCAATCATAAACAGACATTCAATTCAATAATGTTTCACTTACGCAAAGTCCATGTCCATGATGATTTCGTGACGTGACGTGTCATCATAGACCTTGACCCCTGAGAATCGAGGTGGAGTGTCTCCCAGAATGATCTTCTCGAATTGGAAACCATTCAGCTTGTATTCCTCAAGAGCTGTGCGCATGCTGGGTTCGATGGAGTACTTGCACAGGTCCTTTACATACTGACCAGCATAGGGCCACAGTTGTCTGATGATCTGGAAGACAGCAGATTTCAGAATAAAGTCATAAGGGAAGGGAAGGGAAGGGTAGGGAAGGGAAGGGAAGGGTAGGGAAGGGAAGGGATGAGAAGGGATGAGAAGGGATGAGAAGGGATGAGAAGGGAAGGGATGAGAAGGGAAGGGAAGGGAAGGGAAGGGAAGGGAAGGGAAGGGAAGGGAAGGGAAGGGAAGGGAAGGGGAGGGAAGGGAAGGGAA